AAATATTATTTGCGATGACAAATGTGGTCGCAAAAAATATAAGTCACGTCAGTTAATTCTGCAGCTTTTGCGACGACTTAATTCATAAAATGTCGACGCAAATACTCAATGCTATGTCATCTTAACGACGTAACCGACGAAATATTACAGCGACTCATTTGCGACGATTGTCGTCGCAAATATAATTGCGACGACGGCTTGTCGTCACAAATATAATTACGACGACGGCTTGTCGTCGCAAATATAATTGCGATGACGGCTTGTCGTCGCAAATATTGTTTTTACAACGAATCAATTGTAGCGACAAATTTGTGACGACAAGTGGTCGCTAAAAATTTTTTTGTAACGACTTTGTATTTTTTGCAACGACTTTTTATCGTCGCTAATAGCCTTGTTTCTTATAGTGAAGGGTAAGAAGTCGTATATTATTTACCTTTGCTTGAATCGCATATTGCTTACCAGGTACAAAAGACTTAAATAAGGAGAATTCTTACTAATTCTTATTAATAATCATAAAAAAAAGAGTCCTTATCAATTTCTAATTATTCAAAGTCCTAATCAGCTTCTAATTATGATCAGATTTATCAAAAAACCTGTATTCAAATTTCAATTAGTTGTATATTCTATTATTATCTAAACTCAAATGTTTTCCTTTTGACAGAAAAAAAAAAAAGAAACCCTATAATAGTCGCATTCTTTCACGACCAAAACAGAAAAGGAAATTATTGGTAACTTCTTAAGTTTTTATTTCAGCACATAGGTATCTTAATATTATTTTTTATTTCACCACATTGAATCCTACTGTAACAAGGTTATTGAAACTCGAGACATCTTTACCAAACAATAAGAATGTAATGGAAAAGATAATAAGTTTAGAAAGTAAAGTAAAGAAATATCAATGGGAATCATTAATTTTGTTTGTACTGTTTATTTACTGGAAAGGAAATAGAGTGGGAACCAAACCAATTATATTTCAAGTATTTACTAAGTTTAATGAAGGTAATTATAAAATAGAAAATAAAATAATTATAAGCTTGTAATATGTGAACTTATCAAGTGTGTATAGGTAAATTTGTCATTCATTCTCACTTTAACTCGCAATTAATATCAAAAGGGTGTAAGGATTCACTAGAAGAATTTTAAATTTTGCCATGAAAAATTTAGTTTTAGAATGTCTTGTTTCTGGCAAAATACTTTGACAACCAAAAAAATTGTTTCAAAAAGTGGGTTGCATAGGGTTTTTGCAACCAAATTATTTTTCGCCTCTTAAGGTTCTATGTCCAAATTTCAGTAGCAGATTTACTAAATTTGGTTGCCGAAAGTTAGAATAGGGTTTCTGAATTAACTTTCAATCACAAAACATTTTGAGATATTAATGCTAAATGCCACAGATTTCATGGCACTTTTGTCACAAGTACTAAAACTACTATGCCAAGTTGCCAACAATGACTCAACCTAAATTTTAGGTGCTGACCAAAATACCCATAAACTAAACCTAGGGGTTATTTCTCTTTCCATTTCTCTTTAATCTCTCTCA